ATGGCCTTTAAGGATTCCTCAGGCACTGCCAACGTGCTGAGCACATTGTGCGCCCTGGTGAGTTGCAAGGTATGAGAGGCTTCGATCGGAGTGCTATCACCGGATCACTGCTTGTTTCAACCAATTATTTTGGCCACGCATTTGCAATTGTGGGCTTGGAACATCACACCCTAGTGCCAGCTGCAATCTTGTTAAGTTGGCTCCTTGGTGATTGATATGTTCATCGAGGTGTACCTGAGCAGACTGCACAGTATTCACTGTTTTTCTTTGCCTTTCCTTTTCTGGGTGACGGTTGGCTCTTACATCGCGCCTTGATAGTGAAATAAAAAACACCCGAATATCAGCTTTACGTGAGAGGAGGCGCAACCAGCAAGACGTCTTCGCCAGTGTATTTGGTCGTGCGCCTCCTCCGACCTTTTCTGTTCCATTGCTCTTGGCCCTGGCAGCTGGTGACAGTCCACCTGAGAACTTGTTCTCGGGGATGAAGAGGGGTGAGTGGGAGTTGGTGGTGGCTTGGTTACAGAACGGCCCTCCATGTGACATCCTCGTTATACCTGTTGTCACGGTAGGCAGCGTTTTTTAATCGAAAAGATGGTGCAGCTTTTACCTTCTCCGATTTCCTCGTTTCTATTTTTTTGGTGCGATGTTTGGCACCAACCTTGTACCGCGCTATGATCTTAAGAAATGAACTTGGCTGGCTTCACTTTGTCTTCGAGTTGTGGCGATGTGCGGCGCCGTCCGCAATGCACGCTTTCATGGGGAAAGGATATTTGGCTGGTATAGAAATAGGGCAGAGGAGTAGGCAGGCTGGGCCATGCTGTTCACATTGGATGCGGAACTTGGTTTTTGGAAGGGTTTCGCAGTACACGGTGTTGCAATCCTCGCACATGTGCACAGATTCGCAGCCGTTGCGTGCAGACGAGAACTTGTGATTTCATTGTTTTGGAGCATGGAATGAAGAACTAAGAACTTTGAACAAAAACACGATCAAAACGATCGAACGCGCCGTTTTCACAGCTAAACCTTGGGCCACTTAACCTGCACATGACAACGGTGGAAAGCTGTAACACTCCACCTAAAAAGCGGCCTGCAGTAAAGGTCGCTTTTTTCTCACACTTCACCGCTTTCCACGTAGCGGCGGGTTCGGCCTTCAAAGTCGTCCTCCCATTGGCTCGAAAGGACCGCCACGCTGAATGCAGCGAAGTCCCGCTGCTCTTCTTGGGTCCGCCCCATGATGTGATCAAACACCATGTGGTAGTACCGCTTGCCGTAAAGAGAGGTCAAGCGGGTTCGTAGGAACTCCTTCAGCTGGTTGTTGGGGAAAATCCCAGTTTCTTTCAGTTTCCTTGCTCTTGGCTTCTCTTCCGGCTTCAGCCATGCAATCAAAGCCTCATAGTCCCACCAGGCAGCATCAACCGGTGGAAACTCCTCATAGGGCATCTCGGCCAGTTCTCTGGCTCTGGCATCAGCTCTTCGGGCACTTTGGGCAAGTTGTTCATCAATGTCCACTTCCATAGGGCTTGCTTCATCTCGTTCGGAGGTCGATGGCTTGTACCTCCTTTGATATCCTCCAAGGGGATTGCTGATGAAGTATTCTTCACCACTTTCTGCGTCATCAGAACTTGCCAACAACCGGTATTCTTGTAGTCGTCGAAGTCCTGGATCCCAATCAGTCACCCAACTTCCAACCCAGGTGATCTCTCCTCCAAATGGGTTGTTTCCATTGTCAGTTTGACCTTCTCCTTCAGCTTCTGGTTCAGACTCTCCATCTTGTGGCCACATTCGAGTCTCTGGTGTTGCTTCATGACCTAGTTCTTCTGCTCCTTCTCCTTCTGATTCTCTGGGCAGCAAGGGTTCATAGGTCCGTGGTGCAAAATCAGGATGCCATTCACCAATGCCTGCTGCCATGCTTGCTCTCATAATCATACCCACTTCATTTTGGAGATCTTGTTCACGTTGAAACTCCATTGTTTTCTCCTGTCGTAGAAAGCGACTGCATGTTCGAAAGAAAATGGAAATCTTCATTCAAAATCTGTAGCCAAGGTAGATGCCAAAGGCGAACACAAACAGGGTGTAGACCCACGCAATCTTGAAGATCATCCACCCTGTCCACCACTCTCCTCCTTTTTGTCTGCAGTGCAGTCCTTCTCCAACCACTCCTTGTTGCAGCAAAAGCAAAGTCAGTGCTCTCACAACATTCGTGGGTATTTTGGCTCCTGAACTTCCATGGTCCAGCACCACCATCTGCACCATCTCCTTCTTCACCTCCTTCATCTTCTTTGCAAGCATCTTCTTCTCCAGTTCTTGGTTGAAGGTTTCTTCGCCAACTCTTGTGAAAATCTCCTCCTTTCCTTCTGCATTCATCTCCATGCAGCCAATTAAGTACATCAGAAATTCACGACATTGTCGACTCAGCTTCCAAATCGGAGACATTCATCAAAGTTGGGATGTTCTCCATGACCAAAGTCTCTTTCTTCACTTCGAGTTGCATCCACAAGTACTTGATGTCGATGTGCTTCCGTCTTCCAACCCCAAGTCGTTCGGTGAAGGCACGACACGAGCTGCTGTCAGTGATGGCCTTGATCATCACCTCTCGTCGACTGACGAAGATCCATAGATCTTTCACCTGAAGTGCTTCTGCAGTCCCGCCGGCTGCTGCCAAGAATTCGGCTTCACAGCTGCTCAATGCAATGCTCTTTTGTGATCGACTCCAGCTTGTCACCATGCAGCCATTCAAAAACATCTGGACTGAACTGACACTATGCCTTCTTCTTGAACTGCTACTCTTGTCACCAGCCCAGTCGCTATCTGTGAATGACTCCAGGTAGTCAGGGCCATCTGCATCCGCCACCTGGCAAAGAATCTCTGACTTCTTGCTTCTGTACTTTTGGTAGCGAAGTAGCAGGCCATAGTTCTCAGTGCGCCGCAAGTAAAGAATCACGTGCTTGATCTCTGCCTCAGCTTTCTTTGTTGGTTGTGCCATGGACTGGCTCAGGTTGCGGATGCAATGTTGCACATCCACTCGATCTTGGCTCACATAGAGCAAAGTTCCAAGTGCTGAGCGAAATCGAAACTGGTCTGCTCCTTCAAGGAGGTCGGAAGGTCCTCCTTCCAACTCCACCTGCGAACTTTCTGGGGTTGCTTTCCCCGTCCTGTTCTCCAGGCCATAGAGCTCCACCAACGCTGGAATGTAGCGCTCGTGAGGCATGATCACAATGCCTGCCTTTGTGAAGTAGTGTCTCTTTTCAAGCACCTCACAGCTTCGTCTTCTGGTTGGTCGTCTGCAGGCGGCGGCGATGCCGCCATCCAGTGCCCTCGGCGCCACCATCTTTGGCCGGCCATGGGCCCCGCAACATGTTGAAGTGGTCATTGACCAGAACCTCTTCCAGCTCCAAGTCGGCTGCCCTCCGGCTGCCGGCTAGGACTTGACCACTCCCTTTTTGGACTTTGCCGGTTTACTTTGCCCCTTGATTTCGCACATCAGGACGCTGGCCTGTATACAGCAGCGTAGGCCGGTCCTGCGGTTCAAACAGTAGCATGAACAAATTGTTGTGCAGGTGTAACCTTCTGGGAAATCCTCAAGTGTGTTCGCCTTCACACGGGGATTGGCGTTCGCAGGGTGGTCGGTTGGAGGTGTTGGATGTCGCTGTGACAGTGGGATTTGTGTTTCAGGCTGTTGCCTGAAAGCCATGTTTTCGTGAGACAAATCCCAGCTAAAATTGCAAGGACACCCGCCAATGGAACCTCGCTGTCAACTGCGCAAGCAGGGGCCCACGCCGTTGCGAAGTTGCGACGCTATTTCAATCACAAGAATCTCGACACTGTTTGCCATGCGGTATGAAACACTTTGAGATGCCCCATCGGCGTAACCAAAGCAACTGCTCACAAAACTGCGGGATGCAATGAAATTGGTCGGCAATGAAACTGGGAATGCAACCGTGGCGTGCAAAGGAGGGGCACGAAAGCATATGGACATTGGATCTGCGATTTGCTGACTTGTGTCTGCATGTCTGTAATTATGTAAAAGACCTGGGGATGAGCTTGTTGGGGTTGGATTTGTATCGCAAATGCGGCAAGCCGCGCACATTCAATACTTGAAGCTTGGCCACCGTGCGTTTATTACGCCGCACAAAGCCCGGTGACATTTTGTCCCGCGTTCGCAAGCAGTAGCGATGAACACCAAAAGAGAACAAACGAAAACAGAAGTTTCATCCACAAATGAAGATTGGATATTGGCGTCCACCTGTGTGGCGGCAGCATCCAAGCATCCACAGTGGGTTGTCATTGCATTCCTGGCTAGAAGTTTGGGTTTAACCATGATTGGCCCTGCAATGCTGCCACAGGTTTGGGGGCATAAAAGTGTTGGATACAGCTAACACCTTTGTGGCGTGTGTCCCCCAACAGCAAACACACTGGTCCCCGCATCAGTCAGGACACAGGTATGTTGGCCTTTTGAACATACTGCGAAACACAAAAGTGGCAAGCGTGTGACAACGTAATGCCATCTAGAACGCAAGAACCCGGCAAGATCAGAAAACAACGAAACAAACGAGTGAGAAAGGATCGTTTGTCGCACAACCTACCATGTTTGCAACCAGTACAGCATCATCATGGTTGCCTTTACGCTGGCTGTTTTATTTTTCCAATTTTGCGTTTCATGCAATGCGGCGGAGGAGGAGGTGGAGGTGGAGGCCGAGGCATAAAGTTTCGCAACCCCCTGACAGGTGGGAATTAGGTGCTTGCACCAATGCAATTCGATTGTTGTTTTGTTTCCCTAAGGGGTTTGGACGGTCGGCGTGTAAAGCACTCGTATGTTTTTCTGACCTCGCATACAAAATGCCTTGGTGCAAACATGGGTGGGGTTTTGTCGGCTAGCTGCTAGCATTTGTGGTTGCTACTTCAGCTCACACTCAAGCGTAGCGCGTGAAGTGAAAGGCTCACGAATAGATCGGAGTTGTTGTATCTTATTTGTTTCTTATTTCAAGTGTACGGGATTGGCACTGCAAGGGTTGCTCCGTACTTTTACATTATGTATCAACAACATGAAATGGCTCGGTTCGCTTTGATGGCGGCCCTGAACACCAATGTTTGGAAGGCCATTGACTGGATTAGCATTGGATGTTGCCACTGCTCTTGTTGGATGCGTTTGCTCGGCCATGACGTGAGGCAACATGGGAACCCAAACGCCTGCTGCAATACGTTTTGCCAGCAAGGCCTTCCATGAACATACGTCACACAAGTTGATGTGACAGTTTGTTGCAACGCGCTTTGTTCTCGGTAGGTGGCAAGGTTTCGCCACTTGGTCGCATGGTGTGACGAAAGGTGGTATGTGCATTCTGGTTGCCACCTGAGGTTGCTTAGATTCAGTCCCAGATGCTGATGAGGCACAAAAACAGGAAATAGAGGCCGTGGGCTAAGGTGCACCGTGAATCGCACACGCTGTTTGGCACTAGCATTGCGAAACATCTTGCAGGTTCTTGAAAGTATTTACGCTGAATCATTGCAGATTCTGAGCGAGGAGGGTGAGAGGCTCGGGTATGGGTTGCGGCTCAACGCAGTTGCGGTGTTTTAGTGGCAAGTTGTGCAGGCCCATGCTTTTGCGTGTCGAAGTGCCCGTTGCCTTAGACAGTGGTTCAGTCCAACTACTCATTGAAACGGCTGAGGGGCAGGCGGGCTGCAGCTCTGGCGTTGTACTACTTTATCCCTTCGAAGCTTGTGCAGTATCATAAAAATGTTGGTGCATATGTTGCAGCAAATGCGCTAGTGTCATCAGCTCGCAATTCTTCAGTCAGATTTGCATTTTGGCGCTGGAAGGTGCCAGCAGGGTCTGTGGAAGAGCTTCCGCCATGCGTTCTGTTTATCGTTGGGGCCTGACTTGATGTCAATACTGCGTTTGCCCGTTAGGCCTTGATTGCTATCTGATTGTTGCTAATTTGAGGCGCTACCACCTCATTGGCCATTAGCGGGACCAGCAACAGCTGCCATGGTGCTGGAGGTGCTCCAGCCTTTCTTGATTGCATCGTTGTCGTGCTGACGCACCTGGTTTGTTTGCCAGTGTTGCAACCGCAGGCCCCTCACATGGGCAGCTCTGAGTTAGAAGCTCTCGAGCCACGTGCTTAGAGTCTTAGAGTCAGTAAGTTATAAAAAATTCCTGATATGATTTTAGCAGCAGTTTGCTTTTGCATCAGTCAAGTCAAAATCAAATGGGGTTTGCAGAAACTGTGTCCAAATACAGACCCTACATGTCAAGGTGCAGTCTTGAAGATGAAACCAAGCAAGAGAGCAGCGTTTTTGACTGGGTTTGCAAGCTGCAGGCACGCTGATTGTGGAGGGTTCGCGCTGATTCTTCAACAGATCCCATATGCAATTTCTCCGTTTCAACGGCTCAGGAGCATCTCCATGTTGAAGACCAACTCCTGCTGTCTTCGGAGATGTTCCGTGAGGAGCACATGCCTTCTGCAGGTGCTTTTGTGCCCTTGTGCTATTAGTTTTCAGATGGTACTGCATCCGGTAGGACAATCCGATGGAAGTAGCAATGACTTTGCTCTCGCACAACCAGCGTGCAAACCACGAAAGGCGCCAACGTGAGAATCAGGCACGGTATGAAGACGATGCAGGGTGCACCATTCCAAAGAGACGATGTGTATATAGACATTATGCAGTGACATTGGTTTTGGTTGAAGGTGTGCCCAGTGTGCTTCGATGAACTTCCTGGTTCCAGAGGAGTTTTTCTATCGTGTGGGCACTTCGGGTGCTTGCAGCTCAGATTTGAACATGCTGAGCTTTGCTGTTGGCCCGTGTCTCGTAATTGTGCCTTTGAGGCCACGACTGCTTGCAGCAGATGGCAAGGCTTTACACTTCGGAGGCGTAGGGCAGTTGCGCGGAATTGGTTGCTTTGCTTAGAGTCTTAGAGTGTTTCTGAACCTCCAAGGTTTGAACAGTGCCATGTTCTCAGCCCTGTCTTAGACCATGTTCCGTTCTGTTTTTTTTTACATTTGCACCACTCCAAACATCACTTAAAACATCTTTGGTAGACATGCCTGCAACACACATAGGTTATATAAGTAGCTGTCCGTCACTATGTATGTAGCATTCCGCATTCCCAAATCTGGCACGTAGTTCCAAAAAGCAGGATCAGTCAAACGCCTCTTGGTCGGTTGCGCAGCAGCAGCAGTCACAGTGCGGACCGTCGGTCTGGGATCCGCAGTGGGATCAGAGTCTTAGAGCCTGAGTCAGATCGTTCTGGATGTGTAGGGCACGGCGAGCGGTAAAAGAACGGAGTGCCACATGAGCGGCACAAAGGGTGGCCTGAGGGATGTACAAGGCCAAGCCGCGAAGCTCAAAATAAACGGAGAGCTCTGCCAACGTCAAATGAGACCGCAACGGTAGCTGCAGTCCGAAAGCAAAAAGCAGGCAGGATCAAAAACAAACCTGCTGGTTCCCTCGTTTGCTAGTCCGCCGGTCCCTAGTTCGCCGACGCTTCGTCTCCGCTGGTTCCCTGTTCTGGTCATCTTGTTCCACTGGTCCGTTGCTCCAAAGGCGCGGGAATTGCACAATGAATGTTCTTTCTACTGTACTTGATTTTGGATCATTTTGCAACGTTTGGATTGCGAATCAGCCTTCTTGCAGCCGCAAGTTGGCTTTGTGCTTCACTCTGCGGGGGATGCGCTGTGCCCCAAACCTGGCTCTGTGCACATACGCCTTGGTACACAGCCTGTACTTGATCGGTGTAGTGTAGGTGCAAAGATAGGCTATTTGTAGATGTTCTTGGCTTCAAGAGGCTTCCATCGTATGCGTGCTGGACGGAGGTACTGCACGAAAGAATTGCAAACTGCAGGGTTGCCATTCTCAACTGAGCATTCTCTGTTGTTCTTATCCTTGTGAGGGTGCTCTAAGAAAGGGACACGTGACATGTCGCTCATGGTTCTAACATGTTCCAAGTCATGACTTACAACATCCCATTGTTACGCGTGTTCGCGGCCTTATGCTCAGAACATGGCTGACAGGTACAACTTTGGGCAAACAAATTTCCCAGACGATGTTCCAAGTGGGTGTCGGTTACTTTTGACATTAAAGTTGTTTCTTGCGCACGTGTGTCCTCGAAAGTTGGAGCTTTGGATGCTTTGTGGTCGCCTGTAAGGGTGATGTGACAGCGCTGCGCTGCCCAGTGCCAGACTGCAGAGTCCCGTGCTTTGATGCCGACGTCCTGCGGCAGCTCTTGGGTCGAACACTCAAGACTCTTGTTTCATCACTTTCACATGTGGTAACGCATTCCGGCGCTCGCTAGCGGCTAGCGGCTAGCTATCAACATCTATCAACCAACAACGACCTCGTGTTGTTTTATCCTTCAGCTCTTTTGCATTTTGGTTCAAGGATTGAGCTGCTGCTCAGTCAGGTTAGTGAGTGCAAAGAAAGCTGTGCAAAACTTCAATTGAGTTGCCATTCGGCTTTGCTGCCTTTGCTGAGGCGAATCGGGGTGCTTGATATACTGAAATTGTTTCTTCTAGTGGTTTGCCGCAAAAAGCACAGGAATTGATTCCTGAATCTGAGTCCGAAAGTGTGAGAGCTCGGGTGAGGACATGGCAGCTTCTTCAGATGATCCTGGTCCAACGGGTGAGAGGCGATTTGAGATCAAGCCGCTCAACTTAGTGTGGGTCACCGTTCCCACATAAATATGGGTGTGGGGGAGTCACGAAAGAAAATGTTCCACCTGGAAAAGAGCCTTCAGGAAGTGGAGTGCGGTGGCACTGTGGGCATGGGACATCGTGGTGGACAATTGCGCGATCTGCCGTAACCATATCATGGATTTGTGCATTGAGTGCCAGGCGGGGATCAAAGGGATGAAATCCAGGCAGTTTGTTTGTTCTTTGATCCTTGTTCTTGGTGTGAAAACCACCATTCAAGGCCAACCAGGGCTCTCACACCAGCGAAGAGTGCACAGTGGCGTGGGGGGTTTGCAATCACGCATTCCACTTCCATTGTATTTCCCGTTGGCTGAAGACCAGGACGCTTGGCTGCCGTTCGCAGGGAGTGTTTGGCAGTGTCATTGTGTTTTGAAAAGGAGAGGGCTAGCGGCTAGCGAGACAGGGATAGATAGACAGATAAGTAGGTAGGTAGATAGATGGATAGATGGATAGACGAGGGAGAGAGGAGAGAGATAGGTGGATAGGAGGATCATGGAAAGAGAGAGTGGAAGGGCGATGAGGGAGATGATAAGGATGAGAGAGTCCAGAGACCAGAGACGAGCATGAGAGAGAAACAACGTGAGAAAATGGCTTGGGGAAGAGGGAGAGAAGGAGAGGAAGACAGAGAGGGAGAGGAAAAGAGCAGGGAGAGTGCGGACAGTTGTGTAGCATGTTGTTTAATTTTGTCGAAGCAGTATGACCGTCCAGGCAAGTGTGTCCATTGGACAATGGAGAATGGGAGTTCCAGAAGTACGGACGCTGAGCAGTTGACCAAATGCGCCTTCGCCCAGCCAACGCAAGGGCCCTGCCCAGTGCACTACACACCAGACCTACAGCTCATGTATCAAATTTAAATCAGACATTTCTCGACTGGGTGGCCCTATTTTGCGTTTGCACGAGTTTTGGATGTTGCAGAGTGGCCTCACTGGCTGCAGCTTTAAATTTGCTCTGAACAGAAAGCCGCGCGACAAAATGGGTGCTGAGTGGTGAAAGGCAGAGGCGTTGCCCTGCCATGAATTGTGCTGTGAGTTGCCAGGACTCCCAATGCTTTTGGCCAGCAGATCTGTCAAACGGAGTCATTGTAGCTGGCACCGTTGAAGTTGGGCAACCTGAGGTTCCAACTCCAAGTTGCTTGAGAAATGGGAGGAGCTGAGCTTGAAGCATTGCCTGGACTCGATGGAGGCAGGGGCTCATAGGGCCTTTTGCACAGAAAGCCTTGACTCTGACCATTTGCACTTCGCCAGGATGTTGTGTATTGCCCCCGCTGTGATTTGGAGGGTGATGGGCAGCGAGTTCCTTGCATCCAAGACAATGAGCACATGGCCACATGCGAAGTCTGTGGCTTCACCTTTTGCGGTAAATGCCGAACCGTCATGGCCTTAGCTCTTGTTCTCTACCGAGCTAGCTTCTAGAGCAACTCGTGCCACTTGTGGGTACTCAACTTTGTAGAGGTCTTCGGGTCATGCTGGATTTGCCGCATCGGTTTCTGCGTTGGGCCTAGGTATACCATCCAGGCATGTGCCCCAGCATCCAACATGGGATCCCCTAGCCACAAAATGTTCACGAGAACGGAAGAGCTGTGGGTGCATGACATGATATCAGGAATCTGCCTAACTTCATTTCGGGCGCAGAGCTGACATCACGTGAACTTGCAATGGCCGCCTTTGAGGCACTGAGTGTGCCTCTGTGGATGATCGATTGGACGCCCTGGAAGCGAGAGCGGCTGGGATTGGGCCAGAGGCAGAACTGTCACATCAATCCAGAGAAAGATATGTCCCAACAGATGTGGCCACAGGCAAAGGCTGCACGCGCTGAATTGTTGACCTTGCGGCACCTGGCCAAAACAACCAAAAACTGTCCAAAGTGCCAGATTCTGAGCACCAGCGATGATTTGATTCACATCAACTTGTGCACTTTTCCTTTCCTGATTGCGTCCCTATGCCTAGGCAACTTTGGAATTGAGAAGAGTGAAGGCTGCAGCAAAGTCCTTTGCGGGCGGGCTTCTGAGTTCTTTGTGGCCAAGCGTGCTGCTATATTTTTTTGACATTTCTGGGACTTCAGCTTGCAGGAACTGCAAAACTCACTTTTGCTGGCGATGTGGCAAGACCATCACTGGCTACGACCATTTTGCCACCAGCGATTGCCGCCTGTTCGACGATGATGAAATCCGCCGTTGGAATCAGAGGGCTGGCCACTGAGAATTTTCTGGAGCTGAACAATGAATTTGACAGAGGATCGGTGAGAATCGTCATCCTCGTACTTGAGGTGCATCAGGTGGACAAAGCCCAAGCGAGAGCTCATGAGGCTGGTCGTTCGCCTGAGCGGCATTTCGCAGCTTTTATCAGCTTGGCCTGGCAGGCTTGATGTACACTGTACACATTGTTTGTTTCAGGGCATGCCGCATACCCCTACTTTGTGCGTGTTTTGTCCAACACTTATCCATGTGATTTCTTCAATTGATTTGGTTGTTCTTCACAGACTTAGTGGACAGCACCAAAGACTTCATTTCCTTGAGATTCCACCATAAACATGTAAATACTCCATGTTGGAATCTTCTTTTTACACCCACGGTCGTAGATCTGACCAATCCAGGCTCGCTTCTTGGCCCAGTTTATGGACCCGGAGCGGCTGAGGGAGCAAAGCCGGGAGTGTCGGGGGCCTCACAGGGGATGCTTGTCCACTTCTTCGACGCACTAATTTTACATGATTTCACTGTGGCGTTTGCAACATGTATATATATATATATATTTTCACCCACGGTCCAAACTTGCATTTTTGATTCGTGCATGCTATCACGCAACGAGTTCAATGATCCAACACAACAGCGAGTTTGCGTTCCTGAGGCCCTCGCTGCAGGGCAGCGGTGCTGAAAGAGAGCAAGAACAATCACCTCCGTTGCTATGCTTGCATGACGCAATTCTGTGCCCCTGCCTTGGGAACGTCTTTTCTTGGGTGCCGGGCTTTGAGGGCTTGTGCTGCTTAGGCGAGATGTTTTGAAGTGCTGCCCAAAGGCAAAGCCAGTGAGCACTTCAACAAACTCCGGAGTTGCCCGCAGCACTCTGACGAGTAGGAATCCTGAGCAATCTCGGTAACGTGGTGATGGCAGCCAGAATGGCCAACCCTCCACAATGTGGTGCAGCTGTTGTGCACAGTGACAGTGTGCAGTAGATAGTGTATCTCATTTGGATTTTCCCTTGTGTACAGTGTCCAAGGCCATAATGTGGGTTATACAGTTGTACATGCTATTATACTTGACACTGTGACACTGTGATCATGCTTCAGCCAGAGGCTTGTACACCTTGTTTGGATCTGAAGCTTTGGGTTCAAGCTTGGCTGCGCCCGGCATGGAGGCTGAGACCAGATAACGGCTTAGACTTGTGGATCCTAGGGCCACACTCTTTAACAATCCAACCTTGCTGGCGCCTCTCTACAACAATCTATGCCAGCCGTTCTTGTGTTTTCTGAGGACTACTGCAGGTCTTACAACGCCTTGACCAGGCCAGCGGAACCATGCTGCATCCGGACTTTCGTGTTGAATTTCCAAAAGCCAGAAAAAGTTCGATGCAGGAAAGGTTCTGGAGCGTTCCGGATCTCGACCGAGTTGTTCAGGAGCTTGTGTGGTGAGTATTGAAGGAGCTATCAAAGAGTCACGAGTCATTCTCTATTTCTCACAAGACTTTGTGCAGGAGTTGGAAGGTCTGGACTGGACGCCCAAAGGCCACGTTGGACTCCACGTTTTTTCACTTATGCACCAGGCTTAGCAGGCTCAACTTGAGCAGGCGCGCGTCCGTCCCTGGACCAAACTACCTGGAGCCGGCTGGGTCGACACTTGGTCAAATTCGCTGGGGGCAGCGGCCTTGGTTGCCTGCCTCATACAACGCTGAACCATTGAGCAACACAGTTTTGTTGTAACCAAGGCCAGCTTGAAGCTTAGTTGGCAGCAGAGGGTTGAAGCCTTTCCCGTTTGCAACTACCAATCTATTTGACAACAGCTGTCTTAGGTTACAGCGCATCCTAGCCGCAACGGCCCCTTTGCGTTCGACACTCAGACCTTTTTCCCCAGAGCTACAAAACCCATGACAACAGGCAACCCAACAAGTGGGCAACTGGTATTAGGCGTGTGAGTCTGTATGTGGCCTGTGTACATTCACAGTCCGTTCCTTTCTCCTTGCCTGAACAACACTGGCGACCCTTACGCTAGGTTGAATAAAGTCATTCGACCACTGTTTAAGCCGGGTCCGTGAAATGCCATCGTCTTTCCAGCTTGGGCTGCATAAGCTGCTGGTCTCTAGCGAAAATGGGCAGTCACTTGCAATGCAACTTGCAAACTTTTGTGCGACCAATAGGCAGCTCGATGTGAGTTGAGTGCACTTTGTTGTTAACCACCTTGGAACTGATGCAGCAAACCGCTGTGCTTGAGGCCAAGACATCGCAAGGACAGTGAGAGACCTGACTGAGGGTCTCAACAAGTGTCTCAGCCACGCACAAGACTTAGCTGCCCTGGTGGTACAAACCAGCGGTCTCATGAGCCTTTAAGGCTGGACGAGACGAAGCCAATGAGGCTGCTTGTTGATCAAATGAGCTGGCAAGCTGTATGAGCTGCGCTGGCAGGCACTGCCACAGCAGCTTTTAGCGCACTTTAAAGTCCAGAGCCAAGAAAAAGGAGATGTGCTAGCTGCCGATTTTGCGCGCTGTGCTGCAGTCAAGGCGATTGATGGTGCACCACAGCTACAGTATTTCAGGCTACCGTACTGGACCGCGAAATCGCACCCGGGCTAGCGGAGTGGGAAGCGCTTTTTGAGGCAATGCTGTGGCTTGGATTCCAAGACGCGCTTTCTGGTGGCCTTGGCTGGTGCCATCCGGTCAATTCAGGCCTGTGTTGATTTGCCATGACTCGGTGATGAGCTGTCAGATCTCGTTTTGCACATGTCCTTCGATATCCAGCAGGATCCAGCCCTGCTCCGGCCGCAAATGGCAGCCCAGCCACAAGTGCTGATCCTGGCGGAAAGCATTGGAAGTACTTGGCTTGGACTGCTCAAACACACTCTCCAGAATATGAGATTCAGAGTACATACACAGAGAAACCACGAGTAGCCAATCGAAACGACGTAGAGTAGATAGATAGTGCTTTCGAAATTGCGGAGTATCGAACGGTTGCACTGTTGAAAAAGACTAGTTTTAGGTAGGACAGATAGGACAGATGAAAAGGCTTCTTTTGCCTTGGTCTTTAATTGAGGCACCTTTTTTACCGTCAGTGGTGACCATGTGACCGCCCACTTGCTTGCATCTTTTTTCTTGAATGCCCACTTAATCCATTTTGAGGTACTTCGACGGTGGCACGACGCAAGACTGGAAGGCTACTGTGTTGTATGGCAAGCAGCTGCAGACTATGCCGCCAAGCACCTGAAAGAGGAAGGGTTATGATAGGGCTATGATACCGCCAAGCAATTTCAATGCTCCAACCATGCAGGAGCTGCAAGACTGCTTGGCCAAAGGAATCGCTCAGCCTAGCTCTCAGAAGCTGTCCAGCAATTCAGGCTCCACTTAAAAGGAGCATGGAGAAAGTACTTTCCACTTTGTTGCCAGGCAAGCTGCCCGAACTGGAGGCCTTGGCTCCGCGGAACGAATGAACTCATCAAAAGCAGAGTTCAATGATTGACAGTATGCAAGAATCATGAAGTTTCTTGAAACTTTCTGAAGTTACACACGAGGTGCGCCTTCCTTTCAGCTTTCTTCGTGGCCCATGGCTGGCTGTCCAATTGCACGGGAGCCGTGGCCTTAGGGTAGAGATCATTGAGGTGTTGAACGAGTCCAAGTAGCTCCTAGTAGCGTCCTTTGTTCCTAGTAGTACGGCCAGGAGCCCCTTCTTGTTACTATATAGCCACCCTCCAAGAAGATTATCCAAGAATTGACGACCTACTGTAGTCAACCGCACCTGTACGGATTTGCCTCGAGGTTCTCTGCTTTTGCACGGGAGAGGTGCCAAGCAGCTTTGGTGGGTTCTTTGAACGCTTCCCACTGTCCAGCCATGTGCCAAGTGGAGTGCCATTCTGTTTAGAGTTTCAACGTGAAATTCTTGACAGCAACAAGGAACATACAATGCGACCATCTATCCTTCTACGACTTTGCCAGCAACTTGATGCATTCGAAATTGATGCATCAGAGTCCCTGGCGTAAGCAGCTTAGCTTTCTTGTCGAACGTGGCTGGACGCCCAGCTCACACAGTTTTACCAAGGCGGATCAGCTTGACCAGCGAATTTGCTGTGAGATTTCGTGCGCCCTCGGGTGAGGCTTTGGCCATTCTGAAAATGTGCGGTCTTGTGCAGGTGACGCTGGCGGCCCCAGCCCCTCTCCTAGCCCTGACGAGGCCATTCTGCGACATCTGGAGCAGAATGCACTCGTCCATGAGACATGGAGTTGGACCAGACCATGTCAATGGAGGCGACTTCTGAAGCTGGAGCAGTTGCAGCTCAGCATCGCACAGTTTGAGCCTGAAAGGAAATGTGTATGGACTGTGAGACAGGTGTTCTTTTGTGACACTTTTGTGTGCTATGCCATGCCCTATGGCTTGAACAACATGGGGCATTTGTTTCACTGCGATCTGGTCATGCCATTGAGGTCCTTTCCTTTGGTGGGAGTGGGGCGAAGTTCAAGACTGGCCCGATGGTGGCGTCAGGCAGACTGAAGCTGTTTGGCGATGTCGCACTGTTTGCTTCTTTCTACTAGTAGCGTCCTTGCTGCTAGTAGCGATGCCCTTTCTTACCAGTAGCGATGCAGGGAGCTACTAGGAGCGTCCTTTGCTAAAGGAGTTTGGGATGTTTGGTCTGAGAGTGTTATCAGGCCGATGGACAAATCCCCCACCGTCTGAGAACAAACGGACCCCCTAAGAGGAAGCGTTTGATGAAGAGCATTGCACTGGCTTTGGGCCCGTTGGAGGTAGTCCCGTGCAGGAACCGCAAGCCTTAGGCACCGAGGGTGGGTTCAACGCCCTTCCTTCGTGCGAATGACTCATTTCATTGCAGGCTTTGACGGCTTCGAATCTGCGAGAGGGAGGGGCAAAAGCGGCAGTTCGCGCATTACAGAAGATGTCCGTAAGGAGACGTCTTCAGACTTTTCCTTTCTTCTTTATTTTGTTTTCCTCCCTGAGACATTTAAACAATATATTTTTCTTATTGTTCCGTTCTACATATCGCAGACAGCCTGACCAGGATAGCAGTGGGGATGCCCCGAAGCTGGTGCGTCGGTCAACGACCGAGAGAACTCTTTCGTGGGAAGAATGACATTGCACGGAGTGACACCTCACAACTTGTGAGGTCCATTGACTGGAACGACGTAAAGTTTCTTGAGCAGTTGGCCGCCTTTGCATCGCTTCAAGCATGCTAGCTCTGCTAGCTGCATCGTTTTCCTTCACATACAGAGACATTGCAGGTGAGACTTGGGTTGAAGGCTGGAGATGAGGGCTGGAAGAAATCTTGGGAAGAGTCTGCGGCCAATCTGCCAGTCCTTTGACTTCCATGCTGGTCCATGCCTAGCCGTGCTAGCACGTACCTGAGGCTCTGTGAGAAACGAGAGATCGCCCCGACATTCTCGGAACAGAAGCCTCCCAAGGAGGTGATACCATGCTTTGCTCTCTCGTTAGCTTGACCTTGCAACATTCGTGATAGGTATTGGTTGAGTTTGTGGAAGTCAACCTCTACCAGACGAGTGGCAAGGACCGAAGATTTATATTGCCGGAAATCATGTGCCCTTGTTGTAGAATAGCAGTAACCAGAGCATGTGGCAGGAATGGGCAAAGCGCATCTTGTACAAAGCCGAGGGGGAGGACGATGCATGGAAGGCGTACTTTAGACTTCAGTTTTTGTTGACATGGAGGATGATCGCCCTGAGATCGACTTGCACACGTCTGAGGAAGAGGCGCTTTGCTCTTGCCAGAAATGATGCGGATGCAGCACCAAGTTAGGAGCCTCAAGAGCCTCAAGAGCCGCAAGAGCCTCCAGAGGAGAAAAACCCTGAAGGTACTGAAAGCCAGCTCCAGGCAGGACTCTTGAAGGATCTGCTTGGGCTTCCTTCCAATCGCGTGCAGGAGGTGTCCACAGCTGCATCTACGCCAGCTGGTGAGCATGAGGATGTCGTAGTGGGAGGAGGCTGGGGGAGGGGGAGTACATGATGGCATGTTTGTTGGTGATCAAGGGCACGTGATTGCTCCTGGGGTCTCGGACAGGCCCAGCTAGCAGCAGCAGAGGAGGACCCAAGACGGTTGAAGTTGACTTGAGAGGCTCCACAAATGTGGAGCCGCAGAAAGAAAAAGCAACGATGGCCGCAGAGGCACAGTCTGCAGAGATTCAGCGCTTTCAGAAAATCTTTCACATCTATATCATCTATACAATCTCACTCAATCTCCATTTGCCTTCACTAGACCCCTTTCCGGATTGAGGCGATGGCAACGCGTGACTCCGTGATGCAGGCTGCCTCACAAGATGGTGAAGCGTCACTGGACAAGAAGGAGAAGAAGGAGAAGAAGAAAGAGAAAAAGGATCGAAAGGACAAAAAAGAGAAGGAGGACAAGCCCAAGAAGCCGAAGAAGGAGAAGCGGAAGATGGACGACCAGGACCTGAGATTGGCTGCCGTAGTCGCAGTAGTCGGCCTAGGCGTAGTTGTTCCATGTTCATCGCAGGCCGTGGTGGAAGTGCAACGTGGCTCAGACTCCAGTTCTGTGGAGAGCATGGCGCCGTCCCAAATGGCCGCTGGGGGGGGGCCATGTGGTATCAGTGAGATCCCACTATGCTTTGAAGTGATTTGGTTTGTAGTTTCTATCCGTTGTAAGGCACCTCCAACACATAATCACAAGCATTGGCCCCAGAGATTTGGTCATGTTGGGTGCATCGAGAGACAGCACCATCGCCATTTAGGACTCGCTTGTGCTCTCCATTCCTGGAGGGACGATGTCACAAAGGACTTTGCTTTGGGCACCTTGCTGACATTGCAGTTTGCGCCAGTTTGGCGCATTGCAGGAAGTTTATGTACCGCAGCTCACTCCCAAAGTGAGCTTCGAAAGCCGGGCGAGGCAAGGATGATCGGGTGAACCGACGAAAAGGAGATTGGCGCAGTCTTTTCACATCGCCGCGCAGTTTTGGCATGGTGCACCAATAGCCTGGGCTTCCCAGGCTGTGGCGGAGTATCGGGAGAAGCATCCACAGAGTGGACGCGTGAGCAAAGGTGCTGGAAAAGGCCTGAAAACGCAAGGGGAAGGGTCCAGATAGCCAGATCGCACAGTGAGGCTTTGGAGCAGGAGCTTTTCAGTAGTGATTTGCCAAGTTGGGCCTCATTGATCCGGAGTTTTTGATGATGGAGGCAGAGAAGAAGCACTACGCACCCCACCAAGCAGGAGCTTGCCTCAGACTGGGAAGCTTAGCAGGTAGTTGCATGCAGCAGAGAGATGCATTGGGCCGTTGAAAGGATGCGTGCATGGCCGCAAGATGCTCCCGCCCTTGTCTCAGAATCCTCTCCTGCCCAAGTGAGAACAGTCTGTAAAATGCAAATTGTGGAGCTTCACAAGTCTCTGTAAATGGGACCCGGAGTCAGGGATTCAAATAAGCACCTAGACCTAGGGCTTGGAGAGCTTCATCAGCGGTCAGGTTCCGTCGTTTCACTTCAACACTATTCTGGGTTGAAGGCTCGCTCCAGGGCACCTGCACGTCCCATGGGAATTCCCATGGATCCAATGATGCAGCGCACTCAGCCATATGCGAATGGCACTGAGCCACTTTGGATCAGTCGTCAAGTTTTCCAGGATGGGCCACCCTGGCCCCATCATGGTCCTTCCACCTGAAATGATCCATATGCCAAGAGCTTAGCCGTTTGCCTTCAAAACTGTCAAGCGCATTCGTCGTTTTGATCCGCTTGATTCTATGACTTGGTTACTTGTGTGTGTGTGGCTTTTATGAGGCAAGTTCCTCAATTTCATCCTCAAGTGGCGATGATGATGGATCCGTATGGTTTCATGATGCCACAAGAAAGGCATCATCCAAAGAAAGAGAAAGACAGCAAGGACTCCGCTCAGGAACCTTTTAGCTTGACCCAGATGTACGGTGGGAGCCAGGAGAAAGAAAAGAAGAAAAAGGCTGGATGCATGAGCTAGGGGCCTTGAGTAGCTATTCTTGTAGGATCGTTGGCTTCGTTTGTGTAATTGGCATCGGCGCACTCTGTAAGCAAGCTGCATGCATGCAGTGTTGAAATTCCTGGAAGGAAACTGAGAGGGTCAAAGTCAAGCAAAAGGACTGCCGAGAAGTGATACTGTAACTTTAAGCAACATGTATGTCCTCCTTGCACGCTCTTATCTCGGTGTGCCAAGAGGACACGCCAGAAGTGAAGGTGAAGAAGGACAAGACGGCTCGACACAAGGCGCCAGCCCAGTGAGTTGATGGTAATCCTTTCAACGTTCCGCAGCCAGGAGAAAGTGCCGATTCAACAGGCAGGACTGGTTGGGCTGTCGTGCAGAAAACCCAAGTCCACCCACACAGGTCAAGAGGAAGGAGAGAAAAGTGGATGAAGAAGATTTGTAATCAAAGTCATCGCAGATCACCTCTTGCAGAAAAGTCCGGCTACTCTACAGCGGCACAGATGTGCCTTTGGAACTCTGATGCACGCCACAGTGTTCAACCACGAGTCAGCAAACATATGTGGACTGTTTTGCCTTGAATCTTGAGAGTTGAACACATTTGTGATGTTCGTAGCCATTCTTTTGCCTTAGATCTCCGGCGTCTTCTGTAGCCGCCATGGAGTTTTGCCGCAGCTTGCTGAGTCCCATGTGAACAGGGTCATGCAATCATCTCCAAGTAGATTCACGTCGCCTCGTCCCTAAACGTGTCTGGCAAGAACATGTTGGGTAGCTGAATCGCTCTACCACGTACTTGTAGAGTGCATGACTGCACTGCACACAAGGAGCACTTGGTGATATTTGCCAACAGCCTTGACTTGCTTTCATGTTGTCACAGCTCGACGATGCAATTTTGGACCCAAAGCTGGCCACTCACTTGATTCGGGCAGGGGCCGAGGAGACGTTTGCAAAGCCTTTCGCTAGCATCATTTGGATGCTTCGTGGTTTTCGAGCTGGCAGGTTGGAGCTGAATGTCTATCACTGCAGTGCAGCCATGACAGCTTTCCACAGGGCCGAGAGATGGATGGGGGCGCTTGACTTAATTTCTCGCTGTCGTTCATGGACAGTACAACCTGATGACTTTGTATTGGGCACTGCTATGCATGCATGCGAAAAGAGCGAGCCGCCTGAATGGGAAAAGGTTTTGACTTTATTGGATGTTGAAGGGTTGGGCTGGAGAGCGTTGACCACTGCCCAGGCAAATCCAGCAATCAGTAGTTCGTGTCAGGCCAAGAGATGGGACTTGGCTTGTGAAATTCTTTGGAGAGCCTCTTCCGCACGAGCAGTGGATAGGATTAGCCACAACTCTGCATTTTGCTTGGGAGTTGGCATGTGGCAAAGAGCACTGGGCTTGCTGGATGCAACACGCAGGCAAGTCGAGCCAGATTCAATTACAATTAATTCTGTGATCAACACATGTACAAGCAGAAGTTGGCCGGTAGCATGTGGACTTGTTGGAGACATGAGGTATCAGAGACTACCAGTGACCGAAATCACTTGTGGGGCTGCCCTTAAGGTTTGTCAGCAATGGACGAGAGCGTGCAGTTTCATGGAGTTCATGACACGCAGTGCATTGAAGATCAATGTGATCGTTGGGCACACGGTTTTGGCTGCCCTTACCCTTGGCAGCATATGGCGCTTCACTTTGCGCCAGGCCTTCAGGCTGCAAGAATGTGGCAATTTAGATTGCAAGGCCATCGTTGCCAGCATTGACAGTATGTCAAAGGCCTACCGCTGGGAATTGCCGTTGTCACTTTTCATGCTGCATAGAAGAGACTGTCCGCAGAACATGGGCTGTGTGCCATCAAACGCAGCTTTGGCTGCCTGTGGGCAAGGAAATGGATGGGATGTGGTCTTGAACTTGTTTGGTGGGATGGCAGCTCAGGCCTTGGTTCCCGATGAGATAACTTGGGGAACCTTAGTCAGCTGCTTGGAACAAGGAGCACGGTGGCAGTTTGCTCTCCACCTCCTGGCCTGTGACAGAGAGGGTTTGGCGAAAAGGTCTGAAATCTGCACCAACTCTGCTGCAAGTTGCTGTGAAAAGGCCTGTCATTGGCAGAGCACATTGTCACTTGTGCATTGCCTGCGGCATTTTCGAACCTTTCCTGGAAGCATCAGCTGTAATGTTTGCGTGTCGTCATGTCGCAATGTGGGCGCCTGGTGGTGGGCGGTGCAGGGCCTCGTGGACATGCACAGCCGGCAGCTGGTGACCGAAGTGTCTAGCAGCGAAGCAACGATTGCGGTAGCTCGAACTTCGAGATGGCTTTTGAGTTTGTCCCTGCTTGCGGGTCTTGCAGGTCTTGCCGGAGCAGATGGTGGAGCTGCCTGGGCTACCTGCATGGGTGCCGTGATTGAGTCGCCTCTTGCCCCAAAGCAACGCTTGCGATTCCTGGCTGATCTTGGTAGTTCAGCAATGATTTCCACGTCCCTACTGCGAAGCCAAATGCGCACCCTTGCCGCAGCGCGAGTTTGTCATGTATATATAGCTCAAAAGTTGACCGTCGTCAGCATGAATGCTTCCTGGCTCCATTCCTGACCTTTCCGCAGGCTCAAGGTAGATGGACGAAAGACTGGAGATTGAATTGGTGCAAGCTGCATTTTTTTGGTTCGAGCTTTACAAGTCTCAAGTGGGACAAAACACCCTGTACCGAATAGCCTTGCAGTGTTCTTGGAAGGCACCTCAGAACCAGTAGCAGCAGCAGCGGTGGTGGTGGCAGCAGCGGTGGTGGTGGCAGCAGTAGCAGTAGTAGCAGTAGTGGTAGGAGTAGGACTAGGAGTGGGAGTAGCAACAGTAGCCGGAGCACCAGCAGCAGCAGCAAGCAGTAGACATACACCAAGCAATACTGCAACTAAAAATTTACTCCCCTCTCTCTCTCTCTCCATTCTGGGTTGTCAAGTGAGGGGCTCCAAGCCTCCTTGCGATGTTCCCCTTTGATGCGACGACTCGCCCTTTGCACGTTAGGACTCGGGCAGGCCCAGTGGGTTTTGCCACTTGAGAGCCAAGACTGCCGCCGAGAGAGTGGTGACGAAGCCGTTGCAGACGGCACTGCGGCATTGACCGACCAACACTTAGCACCAGCCCACCAGTTCCAGCAATGGCAGCGCCACAAGGAGTGAAAATTACCGGTTTGTGCTTTGAGGCTGGGAATGCAGACCAAGCGGCCTGTTCCAAATACGCAATTGAGACATTTTTTTGGTGTTTTTCATTATGTTTTTTGGATGCTGTTACAGCCTGAAGCTGGAATCTGTGCTGTGGGCAAATTTCAATTTGGAATCCAATCCAAGATCATTGAGGTACATTCACTGCAGCAGTAGCACAGTGGACGCACGAGCCAGAATTGCTGAACAATCTTGCAACTTCGTTGGCGGCACTGTCACAAGAGGTTGCCTTTGACGGTGATCCCCAGATGGGCCCTCAGAATGATCTCGGGTACATGCCAGGCATGGGACCAGAAGCCATTGTTTGGGTATTGCCCCTGTGCCAGTAGAAAGGACAGCTTAGGAACTGGAACGCTCCTGGGTTGCTTGGTGTTGTCGAAGAAAATTAAGGTCATTCGGTGCTCGAGCACTTTGCGAAGCCCAAGCAGCAGCTGAATTGGCGTTGGTCATGGGTCATGCACCTGCAGGTGCCCTTGTGCAAGCCATTGTAGAGTGACACTTCTGCGATTGGATGGGAAAGCCAAAAGCACAGTGGATCAAGCGGCCAAGATTCCAAGAAGCAGACCAAGGTAGTTTATAGGATCTTTGCAGTTCCTCTCCATCCCATGCATGTAGCTTGGTCATCCATTTGCTTTTGGCGATGTGCCCAAGGCTGCGACACCAAATGCAGCTCACCACCAGTGAGGTGCCGAGCACTGTTGCTGAAGCATTATCCCTGTGTGAAGGACGTGTCGACACGGATGGGCAGGCTGGAGCCACACCAAATGATACAACTTGGGTTTGAGTCGATTTGAGCGGTGTTTGACTTTGAGTTTGCTCACTCTATGGAGGGAGATCTTTTTTCGAGTTGCAATCCAGAGACGGTCACCCAGCAGCGCGATTCACGTCCAATTTCGGTATTGCGATTCGTGCTTGTGTCGTGAGTGTGATCCGGGACAACCTTGGTGATCTATTCATTTTGCCCCCTGGCCTGCCCTCTCAGCTCTTGGCCTTCACCGTGATTCGAGCATCGCGAACCTCCCTTGAATCTTCTTGGGATCACGTCTCGATTGGACAGCCAACTGGCTTGACTTGATTTGAAGTGCAGAAGTAATTGGCGTCCTCTACCACAGCTGAGGAGCATTTTTTCTTTGCATAGCGTCTAAGGCTAAGGCAGGTCGCCTCTAGTAAGATCACAAGAGCGCAACAGCTTTAGGAAAGACAGTTTTTCAGCGGTTGGGACTTTGGCGCGGGTACAGCCACATGGAAGAAATCGTATTGAATCTTGAGACTCTTTGGACATCCATTGGGATTGTAGACCTCGATTGTCAGAGTTAGCTTGCAGTTGGAAGTTCTGATGAAGCATTTGGGGTGAAGCCCTGGATGGAAAGGACCTCTATCAAATCGGAGCATATACAGATACCTTCAGTGGCCACCTCCAGACGTCGTTAGGTCGTTGTTGTTTGGCCTCGCCAAAATTCGGTAAAATACGCTAAGATACTCTTAGCACGAATCTGAAGACACCAGGAGGACAAGACGGCCAGAGGACAGCAGCCAGGGGGTGGCCAGAGTGTTTATGCTAAGCTGCTAAGAGAGAACAACAGTAAACCGTTTGGGATAAATGTTGGTGCAAGACGAATTGATGTTGGACAAGTTGATGTGACCATGATGTGAACCCCTTACACCGACTTGTTCGGAAGGGCAACGACATGATACAGAAAATCGATGTGATTTCGGTTCACGGTTGTAGTTAGTTGTAGTTGTATCACGTCAGAGATGGTCGGATTCCGGATAACGGTGTAGACAATGTTATGACAAGAGTAGAGTCTAGCCAGGCCAGTAAGGATTCTTAAAACTCGTCAATCTTCATTTGCGGTGCCTGCGCAATTTGTTCTTCGCTCCCTACACACCAAGCCGCAGCAAGATATATAAACATGTCAGTGTGAGTGTCATTGAGGATTACCCTTCGAATGTGAAGTTCCTTGCAGGTTCCTTGGGTGCAGGAAACTGGCGAGTCACTGAGCTTGCATACAGATGTGGTATGCCGAGACGCTAAATCTTTGGAGCTTGCAGCGTCCGAGCGTGAGAGACGCCTGGGATATTGGCGACCATCTCAGCTACGCAGAGCCTTCTTATTGCGGAGGATTTGTGGTTTGTTGCTTGTACAGGATGTCTTTGACATCCAAGTTCTCGCCAATGTCTCGTCCGCCCTCCAGCACATCTCGCAACTTGAGACTGAGAGATCCCACAGGGTGGCAGAATCATCTCGCGTGGAGGCCTCGCGAGGTCACAAAAGACGTGAAGTGAAGGTGCCGCTCCAGCATCCTTTCACACACCAGGCAGGGGAATCCAAATCTTTGCAAGCTCCCATCTGCAGGCTATAGTTCTACTATAGAGTATAGACCTTGACACTGAACTTGTCCCCAAGCAAGAGCTCTATTCTATTGGTTCTTCTGGCAATGTCGCGTCCTTTTGGAGATTCTAAATCTATATATATATATATACATATAAGTCATTGAAATTGCCTCTTTGTAGCAGATTGGATCCTTTTCAGTTCTTTTCATTGCCTTGGAGGACCTGCTGTCTCCGCCTCTACTCCGAAGCCTCGTGCAACTTCTTTTGGGGAATCGTATAGAGCTGGATACTTTCAGCTTTATTGAAAGCCGACCTGGCAGCACAGACCAGCCTTGGCACTTTGATGTTCCACTGCCAGACTTTGGGTTGAAAGGTGTTGCTCCATCAGCCACTGGACTGCAAGTCTGGCCTCGCAAGCATGCAAAGATAGATTGGTACACTTATTCACGCCGCTCCGCGGCATGGTCCGCCCGCACTGCCATAACAGTTGCCCAACAAAAACGGCGAAAACTGTCACCCAAACAGACTCGAAATCACAAAATCTGGCCACCGGGCCTCCCGACAATGTCTATATAGAGTTTATTTACATAGTTATATATATATATATATTACATTATGTCATATAACTATATATAGCTATGTATTGTGGAGCTTCGCATTTGCCAAAACACCGTTATTGACAGTTATTTCACACACCGGAAAGCAAAAGCCACTAGAACTAGCGAGGTTTTTGAGGTTGACGTTGCCAAAGGCGCCACTATGTACCGTATTTTGCAGTGTTTCTATGCTCTGTGAGGCAGAAACCACTGCAAGTAGCGATGTTGTTGAGCTTGCCGTGGCCCAAAGCACCGCTATTTACAGTGTTCTTGAACCTGCTGCCAAAAAGCACCGCAATTTGCGATGTTTTCAACAACACGGTTGCCAAAAGCATAGCCATATGTGAGGTTTTAACATTTTCGCTCAAAGACGTCGAGCCTCGGCAATGCACAAAAACACTGCCAAAACCAATGTTTCTGCCCAACAAAAACGGCGAAAGCCGTCACCCAAACAGCCTCGAAATCACAAAGTCTGGCCCCCCGGCCACCCGACAAGACACATGGAAAAAATACGCGTCTCAAAGCCGAGAATCGAAGACCAAAAGTGAACATAAATATCACAGTTTTTTTTTACTTTTCTCTTGCCGGTTCCGGGCGGGCGCGTGCACGAACTAGTCCATTCCGTGCCGTAAAAAAACGGTGTTTTTTGAAGTCCGCCGTCACGACCTATCAAAAACCAATTGTTTTGGCCAAAAAATGCCCTCCCCAGTAAACCTGTACCTTACAGTTGTTTATGCCATCCACTTAAAGTGGTGCGGAGCAGGCGCAACCATGAACTCAGCGCACAACGGACGCGTCCCTCTTTTCTCCTCAAGTTGGGATTGGGCCGCAATGGGCTTGAGCCAAATCAAGTGAAATGCCTACATGCACGAACGGAAAACAAAAGGATCAAGCGTGGTGGTCATGCATCCTTTGACTCACCCGCCTCCCCTCTTTGGAGCTTAAGCCGTTTCTTATAGGCTTTCTGTGTGCTCCTTTGTTGAGCTCGAACTTCCTGCCACGAATCATCCTCTACAATGGTCCATTGACCTGGCAGCATGATCGATTGCAAAACATTATTGCCTTTCAGCTTCGTTAAACAATCAGAGGCCTGTTGAGGGCCGGGGATCCACCGACAGAAGGATGTAGCTTCTGGATCGGCCAAACTTTCACGAAGTGCTCTGATATCCAGAGCTGTTCTCCGATCCTGAGGAAGTTCTTCACTCGATAAACAATCATATGCAACCTTGGCGTCGATGATCAGCAAAATGGGACAAAGTTTCACGTGTTCAAACCACCGACGCATCACAAAGGTGCTATCTCGCACTTCACACAAAATCGCTCTCAAAGACTCAGCATGCTCGTATCCGAGCGACGCGGCGGCAGCCTCTACAGCTGACGAGCTTCGAACTACTCTCTTGCATGAGGTGCTGCACCATTCAATGGGAGCAACTGCATTCATTTCAGATTGAACCTTGGGATTTGCCAGCATCAAAAAGATCCCCAATTGGGATTTTCCCCGGGGCATGGCTGCTAGCGCTCCGTCAGTGGCCACGAGGACCATGATCTCCTTCAAGGAACAACCTAACCCTTTGATGTAAAAGCAAGTCTCTTGTCTCGCCTTTTGCACGGTCGAATTGGCAAGGCGAAGTGTGCTACCGGAAGCATCTACCAAATTCTGTTGCAGGAAAGACACAGCGAAGGCCAAGTCTGGTCGTCCTTGCTTAGCAAACCAACCAAGTTGTCCAACCAATGCTCTCAACTGCGAAGCCTGCTCTTGAGAGACTGGTGCATCGTCGGCCATCGCAGCATTGAACTCAATCTCATTCAAGGCCTGACAGTAAAGGTTCATGTCCACTGTCACTGTGTGTCGGTCGTCACTTTGACATATCACACGGCCAAGGAATTTTCCTCCTTCCTTCAGATCAGTCCAGCTGCCAAACTTGAGCCGAGTCTGGAGTGTTTTCCAGTCCTCTTCTACTTCATGGCTTCCAGCCAGCAACGCATCATCAACGTGCAAAGTCACCAGCCCAATCAACTCTCCACGACTGTTGTGCTTCAAGAACAAGCGAGGAACCAGTTTGGATTCGGAGAAACCAATGTCTTTGAGTGTTTCACGAAACTTCAGATACCACAAGCGAGGGCTCTCACTCAGTCCAAAGATTCCTTTGGTTGCCTCAAAGATGTCGCTCCGATTGTCTGGACCAAGCCTCCATTTGAGGTATTCAGCAATCTCTGGTGGCAACTCCAACCCCTGCAATAAGGCTGCGGTCACATCAGCAATCACTATCTTCCATCCTAAGGTCGTTGCAATGCGCAACAAAAGAGTGTGAACGACTGACAAGGCTGTTGGGCTGGCGGCATCATATTTGCCAAGATCTGGGTCACGATGTCCTCCTACACATAATCGACCCTTGGGCTCAAAGCCATTCAACAACTGTTTCTTGTTCACAATGACCATACGAGACCGAATCACACGCTCTTTGGGCACAATTCGCCCCATGGGAACGGCACGAATGGCCTCGTGGTCGAAGTGGATGGCTAAAGCTTTCACTAAGGCCGGTATGGTCAGCCTTACTTCCGCAGCAGTCATGTCCTTGACACAGATCTCATTACGAGCGCCAGATGGTGGTCCGTTGCTGTGACCACGCTCCAAACGACAAGTCTCCAGCTCTTTGTTCTTCAACTCCTCATCAAAGCCCTGTTCTAACAGAGCAAATCGAGCTTCACGAAGTTTGGCTTCTTGTCGAACACGATCTTCTTGATCGTGTTGTGACGTCTGATGAAGTGTCACTTCAAGCGTCCAGCAAGCATGGGCCCACTCCGGAGCCCAGGGCACCACTCCGGCTTCACACATCACTTCGAATGCAGCCGTCTCTGAAGAGGTCGATATTCTCCCTTCAAGGCTGGAAGGGCCAAGGATATCCTTCTTGCTCAACTTACCTGATTTCTCGATGTCACTGGCCTCTTGCAAGTCACGCTTCCGCTCTCGCTTCAGCATTGCATGGCCTTGATCTAGGGAGTCGAAGACTGCGCGGATGTCGCTGTCCAACCTGGCACGCTTCAAGGCCGAGTCTTGCAAATCCCCCCAGTCAGCTAAACGCTCCCGAATCGTATCCCAAACATGTGCTTGCGCCCCCCCTTCAAAGAATTCTACTTTATGCTTTACTCTGGCATTTTGAAGACGAAATGGGTCCTGTGCACTACCCTCAGTCGAGGATGTGGGCATGGTAGAAGGCAGGCTTGGATCATGCGTGGGGTCAATGGCTGGCTTCTTGGGAGGTGGTCTATACCCATCAAGTCGGTAGGCTGCTTGCCTGGATCGTTCAAGCTGCTGCAACATTTCGGGACTCTGTTCCGCCTCCGGAAGGACATTGGATGGCACCGGACCAGTGGGTTCCGCGATCGATGCATGAGTATCATCTCGTGCAGGGCTCTGGTGTCACTGACGTTTCTGAAGGCATGTCTCCTACCACTGGTGCTGACATGTCATGACCGATTGGCGGACTAGCAACGATAGCCTCGGGTTCAGGACTCCCTGACTCTTCTGCCAATTCTTCATATCCGGACGGTCGCACGGCTCCAGTGAGCTCTTGCTGCATGTCAGACAGAACATCACAGATATACTTAGTATCTAAAGTTTCCTCAGGAGTTGCTAGTCTGACGTTTTCAAGAGCTACCCGGATCACACTCCCCTTATATCGAACCCACGCTTTATCGATACCCTCCGTGGCAGCGACCACGGCTGGACCTTGTTGTCCAGTGGCGTTGTCTTGCAAGCGGCGGTGCTGTCCCGGAGGCTTGTGGAAGTAGACAATGGTTCCTGGCGTCAACGAGAACAATTTGGGCGAGATCGGGAGTTGAGAGCTACCCTCAAACGCTCATGCGAGTCCAACCATTGAAAGGCTGACATGGCAGCACACCTCAACTGCTCCATCCGATTCACTTCCTCATCATGTGTGATGGCATGATTGGTGCTCATCCGCACCTCGCCATCTGCCACTTGTTGGACGAGGGCTGAGGGGACCACGACGTCTCGTCCCTGCACCACCTGCAAGGGTGACCGACCACACTTCCTAAGGAGACGGTTCTTTGCCTGACAACACATGGCAGTGGCTAACTTGAGTTCAGATTCCTTATTGAGACTTAGCTCATGGATGCTACGAAGAATCATGAGTTTCAGGATGGCTCCATGACGCTCACCCAACCCGGCTTTGAATTTGGCAGCAGTGGGAATCACATTGACCTTGATGTCGAACACACGACACATGGCTTCGAAAGTGCCTCGAAATTCACTGCCACCGTCCACAGCCACTTCAGCAGGCGGGCCATGGCACATGATCCAGCGCTCAAACAAAAGTTCAGCACTGACTGCACTGCTGGGGTTCTTAGAGCAAATGCCATATTGCAATGAACAGAAACCGTCAAGGATATGGGTGATGTTCCATCGCTGGCCGGAACAATCCAGGACAAAGAAACTGTCAAGTACACACTGCTCATTGAATCTACCAGGGGCTTTGGACGAGGCTTGCGGTGCTGACCGCGGTCCCGAGATCCTCTCACAAATGCTGCAACGAAGCAATTTGGCTCCTTCGATCACACTCTTATGCGCACCATTGATTTGAAGCATACGGGCTAATCGTTCATTACTGGGGTGACCAAAATGTCCATGCAACTTAGCCAATTGGTTACGAACTTCTCTGGGAAGACGCATTGCAACCCCACTGAAACGAACATACCCGTACCGAGACCCGATGCCCCCAAGGTCACCCTTCCGCTGATCTTCCTCCTCCTGAAGACGTTTGAACTCCGTTCGAATGGCACACTCGGCCATGTCTTCAGGGTCTCCTATGACTTGATCTGGAGGGGGTTCCATTTCAACGGCGCATGCAAGGTGGCTGTCACATGGTTCATCGAAAGGCTCATGGGTGTCCCACCTCATGGTGCAAACATGGTTGATGGAACATGATTCACACACACACATGCGATGCAATGAAGGCAACATGCAGTCGGTTGGTCGCTACATGCTTCACATGCTCGACTTTCGGCTGGGAGATCGGGATCATCAATCGAGCTAAACATGACCGGTGGGACACTTGGGTCAGAGTTTCCGCACAACGTTTTCTCGGCTGCTTCAACGATGTGCAAACACAGTTCCTTAGTCCACATGCCTGCCAACAATGAACGATTGACCCATTGTCCATGAACACATGTAGCACCTTCGATGACCTGATGATCAGTACGCTCATGCGTGCACTGGGCTTTTTCTTCTAGAAACGAAGCGAATCGAACCGAGTTGCAGTCAAGCACTGTTCGTTTTCTCATAGGCTTATGGTTTCCGGGATCTTTAACCCGAATGCACATTGATCTATCACGGCGCGATGCAGGTGTGGCCGACTCGTCATGATTTGGAGTTCAAGCGCCTTGCTCAACCAAGGCTGCTCGGTCAAACGTAACCCACCCTTGGAGGTTTGCAAGTCCCAGACTGCACGAGTGAACTCCCATGGATGAACGGACATGAGCCGTTTCCACACTACTACATCTTGGTCGTTGATCGCTTGCAGACTACTCCATGGGCCGCATGGAGGGCAAATCAAAACTAAGTCAGGACTCATGGCATCCAATTGCTGCAAAACACGGTCTTGTTCGTACTTAGAATTGAGATCATCCCCACACAACAAATCAACAGGTTCCAAGGCTATCCAATGGTCGGATTCTGAAGCAAACAAGGACACCGAAGTCCCAAACACTTCGAGCAAGCAAAATTTCCGATCAGGCTTCACTCGTGCCGCCTCTCTCAAAAGGGCTTGACCTTGCAAGGCGTATTGCACGCCTCTCTTCAGCCGCTGAGCTTGCCCTCTTTGGAATGCTCGAACACAGGAAGGGGCTCCTAGCGAAACATCACTGCTCCTTTCGGCTGACGGAGCGTCTTCACGCATGATCCGAAGTGGCCCCACATGGCCGCCAGCTCGGTCGCATACAAGCGGGCCAGCCAAGCCGGCTGTCGCTTCCATGGCAGGCGGCTCTGTTCCATGGCTTGCCTCATGCGCAGCTGAAGAAGGAAGACCTTCCACTTGTGTACTAGGATGCGCTGATGGGTGATCCACGAACAATTCATGGGAGGGTCCCATGACTTGGTGAGTCCCAGCATAGGGAAGTCGGCCAACTCTCCTGTGGTCGCTGCCTTCATGGCTGCTTTGTTCTTGGCTTTGGTTCCCTTGGCCGGAATCACAGCATCTTCGGTCACCTCCTCCGTCTCTGGCACTGATGATCGATGGCTCTTGGTCTTCGCCTTTGGTGCTGTCGTCCGACCTTTTGGTGTCTTGTGGCGGTGCATCGTTGAGGCCATTGATGCATCCTCCTCCCAAGCGTCCTCCTCCGGATTCGTCCATCCGGGCGAGAGAACTCCCGCCGCTCCCAGCTCTTCCTCCTCCTCCAATTGCACTGAACTGACCTCCGAGCCCCCGAAGTCTGGGCCCGAATGAATGGCATGCTCCTGAGGCCTGGCTTGAAGACGAGAGCTCGCGGCTGGCACGGCTGCACTCCGATTGCGTCGGCTCGCCATGTCGTGTACTTGGCGCACTATCACACAGCGGCAAGGGCTTGCCGTCTCAAGCGTGATTTGGACCCCTTGCCTACGGCGGTGCCTTGACGAATCTCAAACATGCGCACTTCATCACAATTGACCTTTGGCTGTTTATTTTGCTCAAAGACGAGTGTGTGCCACGACGGGTTTTTGGGAAAGAAATCGTTGATCCGAACCAAATAGTGGCCTTCTGGGGAAACACACAAGGCACATCTACGTTCTCCCAACCTCCTGATCTCACATGCATTGGACTCACAATCGATGCACATGCCTAATAGGTTACACACAGCCTTACTTAGCAAGGGTGGACATGGATAATCAATGACGTTGACAGCAAGAAGACCGGTGTGACCTTTGATTGCAATCTCAAGAAAGACCCGATAGCTCGAGAGACGACGGACCCCGTCTCCAAAGCGAAACCAATCGGAAGCCCTTTCTACTGACACATGCTTACCGAGTCGTTGACGAATGGCAATTTCCCGCTCCACCCATGCTGTCCCTGCTACTGATCGCACACAGCCGATGTCTAAAATCATGACTCCTTCATAATCAGTGCTCTTAGGGGGATGTGCTAGAAAAGTATCAGAGGACAAGTCGAACACAGTTTCGGCATTGTCTCCAAACCCGAATCCACCCTCAGCAGCAGCGACCATGTATGCACGAGCGGCATGCTGTGCTGGCTCCTTTCGGCCAATGTAACTTTCTAAAACTGCCGTCAATGCGGCATGCGAATGGATGGCGGGTGTGCCTTTGGCTGCCTGAGTCGATGCACCCTTAGACGCCGATGAGGCTGAGGCGGTCAGCGCTTCTGAGGCTGTCACTGCAGGCGGTGTCACCCGCTCTGAGGTCATCACATTGGCACCTGCCGAGGCACGAGCTTGGTTCTTGGGGCAAACGGCATCTCTGCTCCAGTGTCCATAGCCTCCGCATGCCCTGCATGGATTTTTGGCCATAAGCTCTTCGAGCCTTTTCTTGGCAGCATTGTCACCGCCAGCTGACTGCTCAGTTCGACGGTAGTATCCTCGAGCTTGACGGATGGCTTTGAGCCTGGCTTGACCTTGCTGCGCGGCCAAGAAGGCCTCATGCTCGGCTGCCGAGATCTCATCATCACCAGTGGCCGGAGGCTCTTCATCCCCCTCTTCCGCAGCGATGTCCTCGGACCCAACACCAGCTTCGTCCAACACATGAGTGCCATACGAACGATCGAACCGACCTCGTCCATGGCCAGTGGATGCCTGAGTGGAGCCACCTTGAGTGACATCCGGCTGCAGTTCTGGCAGAAGTGGCCGGTCAGAAAGGCCTCGTCCGATCGGTACAGTGCCTTGCAAAAAGGGCCCCATGCGGCGCAAGGCCGGATACACTGCTGAAGTGGAGAGTCTGTTCCCAGCTGCAGCCATCACCAAGACACGATCACGCTGGGTCAACTCGGAGTTGTCCAGCACGTAGCCTACCAAGAACCTTTCTCCCATGGCAAACTCAGCATCCTCTTCCAGCATGAGGTCTCTCTGAGCCTCTACGCGCATCAAAAAGGAATCCAAGCTCTCATGTGCTGCTCTTCGACATTGCAAGAACTCACGCTGTGCCCGTTCACCACGCTGCCCTGAAAGCTCCTGCACCAAGGATGACGATTCCAAAGTGCTGAAGATCAACGCCAGTCCTTCTGGCTTAGACACCTCATCCACAGACAGCTTGCGGGTCAGGATGGATGCACGGCCCTTCAAGACCGACAAGACCCGCGGGCCAATCACCTCAGATGGCAGCATACCGCCTTCTCCAGCGATCCACATCTGCACAGCCCGCTTCCACTCTTTGTAAGATTCGGTCGGCAGTGCTGCAAAGGAAGACGGATACGATGAAGGGATGCGGGGCTTGGCCTTGCTGGGTGCATTGGATGGCGCATTGGCCCCAGTCTTATCTTCCAGCCCTTCTTCATCACTGTTGCCGTTCATGCGGAAGTGCTCCCACGGGCCGGCTGGACATTCAGCCGCATCCATGGGTTCATTCAATTTGCCATCAGACTGCCACCAATCTGCCACCTGATCACCAAGCGTCTCCGCCTGTAGTTCTGCCTGCCCAGTGACACCATCGCTAGGATGCACATTGTGATGCTGTTCTTCATGGGCCACTGATGGCACGTGGTGTGCAGGCCTTGGCTCTTCATGCCAAGTGCTCCATGACCATGTCGTCCAAGGAGAAGAGGACCAGCGCCAAGAAGACCAGGAAGTAGCACTCCAAGGATCCGGATACCACTCATGCCAAGAATGCCAAGCATGGTCACGCTCAGAGTACGACCGCCAGTCCTGGTCGGCGGTCCAAGTCCATCCCCGTTCATGCCCTTCTCCATCCCGACCAGCGTCAACGTGAACATCCGCACCTTGTTGATGGCACCGGTCAGGTTCAGGAGAACTCAATGCAGGCGACGGTGACCCCTCCACCATCTCTACCATTTCATAAGAAGAAGACGTACCGCTTGCGGTGGACCGGCCTGGTCCCAGGCTCGCGGCTCCCAACTTTGAAGTACCCCTGGCCCTAGCAGCAGCTGCAACCCTAACGGTTTCAAGCCCACGATCCACCGACGGCTGCGGCGGCTGCCACCATGACTCCTCAGAGTCATCTACAAAACCAACTTTCTTTCGCCGTCGACGTGACGGCGGACTCAACGGGCGCCCTGACATAGCTCCCCACCACACGCACTGACCTGGATCGAGCTCAACAACAACGAAGCCTCGCAAGGCTCCGCTACCACTTAAAGTGGTGCGGAGCAGGCGCAACCATGAACTCAGCGCACAACGGACGCGTCCCTCTTTTCTCCTCAAGTTGGGATTGGGCCGCAATGGGCTTGAGCCAAATCAAGTGAAATGCCTACATGCACGAACGGAAAACAAAAGGATCAAGCGTGGTGGTCATGCATCCTTTGACTCATCCAGATGATCACGCCCTGGGCACCTTCGGTGCGGCGGATTTCAAGAGGAAGGGGCAATTTTCTTGCCGACCTTAGCACATCAAAGAGCCAGTAAGAGAGTAACCGTGCGGCAACCCAAAGGTTGGCCTTGTCAGTGTCGTGCCCTTGGTGAACGTCATGCCAACAAATGGGGCAACTGAGTTCTTGCCTGGGTCTCACTGCCAAGCAGCGGATCGGCGGTTCTGGATGGATGCAGAGACGAAATCTGTCTTGCGCTTGCAGCCATCCCTGACCGTTGGCAGCTTAGCCCTTTTTGATCTTGGCCTTCGCCACCGTGGCGCCGCCAATTCTGGCGACAGCAGCCGCACCATTTTGTACATGAGTTATGTGCACGAGTGGTTCCGGGATGCCATCAACTTCCCGGAACCTCAGTCGAGCGCTTGGCACAGCTGGACGCCCACCACGAAGCGTTTGCTGTCGCGATTGGATAGCCGGCGTTACCTGCAAGAACTGGAAACGAGGCTCGGGGTTGTCAGCCAAAGCACTGGCGAGGGTAGGCGTGATTTAGAGCTTTAGCCGTGGCCGTTTGAATATTACTATTGAACAGCTGGCCAGCATATGATATTGCGTGTCGCAGTGGTGGTCCAAAAGACGTCGCAGCTGCAGTAGAGGTGCCGTCCTTTTTTGACGCAGAAACGCACTTCAATCACTTGCTCCGACCGCTTCCACTCAAGCTGTAGGATCCCGGGGCCAAGTAGTGGAAATGGGAAATTCATGGTCCGGTAGTTCTGGCCAAGTTCGAGCCTTTCCATCCAAGGCAGACTTCACTGAAAGAAGGTCGAGCTCTGCTTTGTTGGACAAAGGTTTCGCAGCTTTGGAACGTGACTTTGAACTCTCACAGAGGGCAGTGGGGGCTGGAGGTTTCTCCCCACGTGGCTCTGATGAAGAGGGGATTGACGAAGTCGAGTCGCCCCAACTTTCTCCCCAGCATGCCACAGACACTTGGCAAGTGCTCTTGATATATATTTTGTTAAAACGTGTTTTCCAATTGTGACCTGGCCTTTAAGTGCAAGCCAGCTGAAACGTTGAGGTTACGTGGGTGAATTATATAGTCAATTCAACATTCATGATCCAAAGAAGATGTTGTGTTCTGTAAGTTCAATGAGTTCATTGTAAGTTCTTGGTTTCGAGCAGCATGGGTTTGAGGAAGGCTCCATGGATTTGAGTCTCATTTGGATGGATGGCTCTTGCTTTCAACTGAAAGCATCAACCACGGCCACCTGTCAAGATGTGATCTCTATGCTCCATCGGCGTGGTGCGATCTCCCGAGGATGCCCTCGGTTGCTATTCGGGAAATCCTTGTTGGAAGGAAGCACTTGTTTAAAGGATGTGGGTGTGTCCTCTGGAAGTGAGCTTCAATTGGTGCTCTCACGGCCTACTTTGCAACTGAATGCCAGTGACAACAACTTGGGCCTCGATGGCGTGGAGGCTTTGATTGAAGGATTGCCAGGTCCGCTGCTGAAGGCCTCCTTGATGCGAGCAGGGCTTTTTGGAAGAGAAGGGGGGCAAGCAGTGGCTCGCCTGTTGAGAGCGTCACCTGGTTTGGAATTCCTAGACCTCAGTGGGAATAATGGCTTCGGAGCCTTATCTCTATGTGCCACGGGTATAGATTTGAAGGCTTTGGCGTCTGAGATTCGGACTTTCTATTCTTTGCGCTATTTGGTTCTGGCAGATTGTAATCTAGAAGGTGCACTTGGAGGACAAGAGCTTGCATGTTTGCTTTCTAAAGCTCCGAACTTGAAGAGCCTTGATCTTCACAGCAACAATAACTTGGGCTCCTCAGGTTTGCTAGCGCTTTCACGAGCTTTGCGACAGCCAACCCAGATCATTGAACTCACAGTCGAGGATACCGGCCTAGAAGAGGTGAAGGGTGGTCAGGCAGTAGCTGCCTTGCTCCATCAAATGCCACTCCTCAAGGGCTTAAACCTTTCCAACAATTTGTTGCTCTCTATCGGTCTTCAGGCTTTGGCTGAAAGCATGCCGTCTTTGTCCATCTCAAGACTTGCAGCTCGCAATCTGGGTTTGCCAATTAGCCTTTCTCCGGAGGAATGCGATATTTTCCAATGCTTTTTATCAAAGTGCCCTCAGCTCGAGTTTGTTGACACCGAGGGGCATAACTTTGATGGCCCAGAGCTTGGGTGCATGAATCTGCTCAGGCCTGATGTCTCAGAACCAGAGCCTATGGACCTTATCCAACAAATAGAAGGAGAGGGTCCACTGTCTGCCCTCTTGAAAGGACACACTCTGGAGCTCAGCAAACTTCGGTCTTTCTGCCCAAATCACAGTTTGCAAGGAGCTGAAGTGGTAAAGGTGCTAAACATGATGCGAAGCCTCGAGCACTTGAGCGTCAATGGTTCTGGCCTTGCTTTGGAGGTTTTGCTTGAAAGCTTGAGACAATCCAGCTTGAATGCCTTGAGGTTTGTTGACTTAGGCGACTGTGGCCTGACATCTGCTGCCGGTCGTCAGGTGTCGGAGCTGCTACAGGGCCTGCCGCAGCTTCGTGGCCTGTCTTTGGCCAAGAACGGCCGACTTGAAAATGGGGGCGTGCAGAGCTTCGGAGCGACCCTCGGCGCACACTCTTTGAGCGAAATAGACCTGAGCTGTTGCTCGATTGCTGGGGAGGAAGGTGCAGAGGCCATCTTCAACATCTTTCAACAGCTTCCGGATTTGCAGTCATGCTCACTTTCAAGTAATCCTGGTTTGGGCTCGGAGATCGCCAAGCTCCTTGAGCACATCCTGTGTCGGACGAGGATCTCGTCGGTGAGTTTTGCAAGTTGTGGAGTTTCCAGCGGGGGTTTGGCTTTGAAGCTTGAGGGTCAGAGATGCCTTCACTTGACTTCACTGAACATGAGCGGAAATACAGAGATAGGCCCAGTAGGCTTGCAAAGTTTCACTTCCCAGTTGCCCAATTTGAATTTGAGTCAAGTGGACTTGGCTGATTGTGGCCTAGAGTCGGGGGCAGGTGGGAATGCAATCGCCTCCCTTTTGACCAGATGCCATTGCATCTACCGCGAGCCATGAGATAGTCAGATAGTCCAGCTGAATTTGGTGAATCATCTACTGTAATATTCTCCTACCAAACTGCTCACACCTTAGCAAAAAGGAAGACCCCACCATCTATATAGAGACAGCTGGATGAAAGAAACGGAGAACGCGCTTGTCCAGTTTTGTCCATTGTTTTAGTGTGCCATTTGCATGTCGCATGTCTCCTGCCCAGGCTTTCATGCTCGAGTCTAGCCTTTGAGGATGTAGGGAAAGAGAGATGAAGACCGTTAGCTAGCCTTGAAGCCATGCGAGATGGTCGCTCTGGCCAAGCACGACCTCAAAGTCAGCGGAATGGCAGCGCACCGCGGAATGGCAGTGTGCCAAGGAAAGCGCCCGCCGTGCCGCGACCGCCATCCCGAGTTGATGCCCAAGTCTCACCATCCGAGAGACCATCACCTGACCATGTGTACAATGTGAGCAATGCCAAGGATGCACAAAATGCTATGGCCATGGCCAGACGTCAGATTGCGTCACGAGGACCTTTGAGTACAGCAGGTGCCAATGTTGGTGCGAGGCCGGCTCGAGCCTCTTCGAGTGGACCCAGTGCCGGCCGGGCACCACGGCAAGGGAGTGTGGAAGTGACCAGAACTCCTGTCTTCGCCTACTTGAAGGTGCAGCAGGGTGTGTTTTTGTGGTTTCAGATGGTTTCAGTGTGCTTTCTAAGCTGCCAGATTTTCCAAATCATCTCTAGTCGATTTTTTGAATCAGCCCTTCCAAATGAGGTGTATGGACTGAATCAATATGCGCGGGCTTTTGCAGCTGCTGGCTTGGGTGAGTTGGATGCCATCAGCAAGCTTTCGGAGACTGAGGCCTTGGATTTCCTAGAACATCTCAGGATCTATCCAGGTCACAAACTTCGGCTTCTGCGAGCTGTCGAATGCTTGCGGCACGCTTCTTCAGAGAAGCGCGATGCGGCACAGATGCTGGAGGATGATGCGGCCTTACAGAGGCTATGCTCACAAAAGGAGAGCCTTTCCAAAGAGAAAGCAGAAGCTGAAAATGAAAGTAAGCGTTGCCAGGAAGAGAATCGTCGATTGTTGGAGTTGGTGCGCGAACAGAGTGCTCAGCTACAAAAAGAACGAGATCGAGTCATGGAGTTAGAGGACTTGGTGCGGGGACAAACTGAGCAGGTGCAGTTTCTGGCCAGTCAATTGCATGCTTTGGTCCAGGCTGGAGGACAAGAGAAAGTTACAGAGCTCTTCGAGTCCTTCAGGAGAAACGGGGAAAGCAAGGAAAGCCAGGGTGATTTCATTTTGATCGAGCCAGCGGAGCATTTAGCTAAAGTGCCACGAGCTCGTTCCAATTCAGATTCAGCCCTTGAAAGTCCGTCTTCGAGCCCTGGGACAGTTGGCTCGTATGGAGCTCTTGAGGGGTATGGTCCACGCCAGCCTTTTGTTCATGACTCAGTCGGCCAAAGCGCCCGGTCCAAGCTGGCAAAGTCAATGGAAATTCCTTCTAATGTCGAAGTTGATAATTTGACGAAATGCTTGGCCACCGCCCTACACAACAAGATCATTTTGTCAGTTGGCAGGCCGAGACCACACAATGCCTCAATTGAAAGTTTAGCCGCGTGTTCTATTTTCTTGGAGCCAGTTTGCAAGGAGATCCTGGAACGACAGGGGCGAGAGAGGGAGAACGCAATTCCCGTTGGAAGTGATATGGCTTCCCTAGGGACGCCGCTGTCCTCTTTATGTTCTCCGCTGGGCTCCAAAGCATCTGACCTAAGGGACTCACAGAATCCGGATCGTCCCTGCCATCCATTCAATGCAATAGCAATTAGAAGAATTCCCAACAAGTGGGACATCTATGACTTTTTGGAGCTTGTAATTCGCTGCCTGGAAGTTCATGCAGAGGTGAGTGTTGTCACACTGGTGTATTTGGAACGCTTTTGCGGGATGAGTGGTGTTGCCTTCACCCCGGACAACTGGCAACGGCTAACGATTACGGCAATGATGCTGGCTTCGAAGGTTTGGTATGATGAGTCCTATGAAAACATTGATTTTGCCGAGAGATTTGACCTGTACACGCTGAACGAGATCAACACATTTGAGCGCATTTTCCTCAAGTGCGTCTCATATGATATGTCTGTCAAGACGGTTCAATATGCTGAAACCTATTTCTTTTTGAGAACTCTTGGCGCAAAGGATTCTCCTGAATTTACTCTCCAACCTTTGGACGATCTTGGCGCATTACGTTTACAGGAACGTTGTCTCGCCAAACAAATTGAATTCAAAAAACGTTATACAGGAGATGATGACTTCTCAGTGACCACAGCTTTTTGAGCTCAAAAATGGCCGCACATAATAATATATTAATTATATAAATCTTATATAAGAATTATTGTATGGAATACGTAATGTGTATTTTACAATGAGCTAGTGACACTTGGTGGGAGGCGGATCGTCTTATACCCTCGAACCAATTTTGGTTCAAGGATGTGAGACTAGGGCGTTTGTTCGGGTGTGGTATGT